AGAAGCAGAAATGAATTAACTTTATAAATAAACTAACTAATTTTACAGCCTGTTTCTTCCAGCTCTGCTATTTGGATTGATTAATGTTTGATCATCTTTCTAAAGTTCAAGAGATATATTTAACAAAATAAACTGATGTCTAAGAAAGGGAAGGTATGTGAGATTTTTGTCTTTCTATAAGGAATGTCTGTGCCAAGACACTGCCTGATCTATCCAAACATATTCTCATTGCATTTGATTTTTGAAGACGCATAGGGAGAATTGGTTAGAATTAAGTTTAAAGTTGAAGAAATTAATTTTGTAGCAAAACAATTGGCATTGTCAAAGTGTTGAAAAGAAATGGAAAGCTTAATCCAAAAATAATTGTAAAAACAAAATTTGAATTAAAACCTTACTTTTTTCTACTTTGAATTGTTCCAGGGTAAAAAAAAAAAAGTATGATAACAGTCACAAGGACAAATCTGGCTCAGCTGTGGAAAAGGGAAACTTTTTGCCAATAATAGACTAGGAAACCAAATTTGGGGAATATGGAATCACAGCAAAATTAATAATATACATCCAGAACATTAGCTTGATTAATTTAAGCAAGAATGGCTTATATATAATATGTCACACAATAAGCCAAATTGAGACAGTTAAGAGTACAGTTTTTATGGGAGAAACAATTATATAGTTTAGTGTAATGGTTAAGAAACCAAATTAAAAACTGGGAGATCATGAATTCTAATCCTACCTTGGACAGAAAGCCAGTTGGGTAATCTTGGGCCAGTAATCACTCTCAGCCCTAGGAAGGAGGCAAGGGCAAACCATCTTCAAAATCTTGCAACAGTGACTGAAAGCCCACTCACCAAAATTGATATAAAGATAATAAATAGAGGCAATTTCAGTGATTATGCAGCAGTTATCAGTTGAGTACAGTGGGAGGGACTTTAAAACTATGTATGTTATTAATATAGTTTTATTGATTTTTATATTTTTATTTTTTACCTTTCTTTGCATTATGTGCATTAACAATGGTAATTAGTGGTGATATCAATATGAATATCATATTTAGAGTTAATAGATCCCATGAATTATTTTATAATTACTATATATTGCTACTACTATCATATATTGAATGAATGAATGAAATGATGAATTTTAAATGTTGATAATTATGAATCAGTAATTTCTAATATTTTATTCTTTATCCAGTATGTCTTTTTTTGTCTTCTTCTCTTTTGTACCTATTAAATTTTGTTCTTTAATGGAATACTTTGAAAGCATTGTTCCTATGCCAAATGTTGCTCCATTTTTTCTAACCTAATTTTCACTTTTAAAAAGAGAAATATTATAAATTGTGTTGTCATACTATTCATTGAATTATCAGATTCTCACTAAATCAGATAATCCCTTGGAAATTGGAAATTAGGAGCTAACAATCCAAGATCTTGAATGAGTCTCGTCGTCTGAATTAACTCAAACTATGTTTACCACGTAGGTGTTAGTGACCATTTGCCTTTATTCCCTCCACCTACTCTCAACAGTACCTGATCCATATAAAGAAACAATTTGCCATGGCCATAATGTCAAAGGTATGATTGGTGTCATTAACTAATATTTGGGTGTAGGCCGGCTCATACCCATACTTTCCTTGAACTGCTGGGGATTAAGCATGACTGTATCAGAAGTAATCATACTCCAAAATTTCAGATTCTCAGATGCCAAATTTCTTCACACAAATATGATGAAGCTGAAAATATATTTTTGTAGCACAATATTATATACTGAATATTGACCACTTGTGAAATGATTTGATTAATGGATGCAAGAAAAGAAACAAATAACAATGGGGTATGTTTCTAAATGTTTTGAGAATGACTAAGGACTTTTGGAGTGTATGAAATTTGTTTAAGTATTAATGGATTGATTGCTGAGTTAAAGCCTGTCCTCTTTTCACTAGAGATTGATGGACTAGTGCTGAGGTCTTTCATACTTGACGCTTGGATTTGACTTGAAAATTCTGCCAAGTCTTTTACTCTGAAATTTATCTTAATTAGATCTGAAAGACCTGCCACAGTAGAATAGTCACGCCGATTAAAATGAAAAACAGGAGAAATTACTGATCAAATTAATCATAATGCTGGGTTACAGCTGTAGGTCTGATGTAATTTGCCACTCCAGTGACTTACATCAGCACAGGCATAGGAAAAAGAGCTGGTGTTACACTGATCCATAACACCAGCCAGCTTCAGGCAGCCCATCAGGACTCTTATTCCATTCATTCTCTTGGCTTAGTCTGACCTCAGTGCAGCCTCTAGAAATGCATAAGGCAAAAATAAATAAAATAATATAAAAGAAAGAAAGAAAGAAAATATCCCCTATCACAGGGATCACACGGTGCTTATGAAATGTATGGATTTGTTCCTTTTTTCTCATGCACTGTGTGTTCTCTTATATACCATACCCACCCACACATAGAACTCCTAAAGCAGAAAAGAAAAAAGTAAAGAGTAACAACCTTTTCAGAAACTTACTTTGGAAACAAAGCTTTTAAATGAGTGGTGAGTAAAAATACATAGGAACCAGGAATCCTCTGCAAGATAATTAATAAATTTGACATCTTATCTAGTTGGATGACTTGACTTGAAGATTCATTTAAAAATCATAGCAATTGAATACACTTTATCATAGAATAAAATAGCTAGAAAGAACATGGAAGAACTCCAGGAAATCATTAAGACTATGAATAATCTAGGACAGTCTGAATTGTTTCATTAAGTTAATGTAAATATTTATGTACAGCAAATGGAGAATCACTCAAGATATTTAAATGAGTCACCTCTGCCCCACTCCAGCTGGTGAACTGTTGCTGTTCTAGGCACACATTGCAATATTTCAAGAGGTCTAATGACCAGGCAGATGCAAATCTTTAGGGGTAACTTTTTCCAACCCTTTTCAATGCAACAACTCTGGATAATTTTTCTTGTCATGGGAGAGAAACAATTTATATCTCCATCATGGAAGAAATATGAATTTGTGGCATAGATTTAGATTTTTCAGGATTACAAAGCTACAACCTAAGATAACCCTAGATATGCAGCAAGTCCAACCTAAACTCTGTTTATAGATCAGAAGTCTTGTTTATCTATTCCACCGACTGACCAAATGAGAGAATTACTTTAATTATTTATTCTAGTGAAAACTAAAATAATAATAAGCATTACTACTATTTTTAATATTATTCAATTCAGCTCCTTTGCAGGCCAGTAGAGAGGCATATAGTTTGCTCCATACTGCAAATACCCTTAGATACATACACAGACATACAAAGACACAGTTACACAGAGAAAAAGAGGGAGGGGGAGGGAGGGGGGAAGAGAGAGTGGGGGGAGGTGAGATTTGCCATGCATATATTGTTATCTATTTTTGGAGATCCAGGGAGCAATACACTCATTATTATCTTTGAATTAGGATAATTTAAGAATATGTTTTTATCTTTTTAAGGATAAAAAATAAATAAGACAGCAGTTTCAAGGCCATGTTGAAGAGATGGAATATTTAACAGTAGCACATTATGTTCTCCTTTTATGTTCTACATGTTTATATTTATATTTATGTTCTACCATTATCTGAATAATATTTATACTTTTTAATATTCTACACATAATGCATAAAACATCTTTACATTTTTATGCCCATATTACACACAAATACAACTACAACTTCTCCAAGCTGATGTAATACCTGCAAGGCTAAAACTAGATTTGAAACCGAAGTCTGAACTTTTAAGCTACATCACCTTTTTTAATCTAGAGAAATCCATGAATGAATGAATGAACTTTTCTAACACAAAAGAAATCTAATTCCTGTTACAATCAACTATGTAAGAGTTTATGATGTTTATGAAAGTATCTGAGCTCAGTATGAACTCAGAATAAATATGAGACACAGTTATACCTGTTCTACTCTTTTTAGACTGCTCGTGTACCTGTTCTACTCTTTTAAGGCTGCTAATATGCTCAAGCATTTCCAAACTCAAAGAAAACTTCTTTCCATCACATATACTATCCTTCATTGTCTTTTCTTTTTTCTTTTTTTATGCATTTTCTTAAGCAAATGACTAAAAAAATAAAATAATGAATTGATAAGTGACAAACTAAATTCTAAGACTAGTTAATTATCTTTGCGTCAGATGAAATTACAAAGAGCTTGGAAATCTCCCGACCTACAACACAAAAAAGGCCCTGTTTCATCTCGCCTCCATATAAAAAACACAATAGAAGGCATGATATAAATAATGCATTAATGAATAGAAGATTCTGTGTACTAGTGAGATTTGCTACTGCAAGCAAGTAGTTGTCGTCTTTGTATTTTGCTTCAAAACAAAATAGGGATTAGAACTAAAGAATATGTGCAATATTGCATTGGGGAAAAGAGAACTGTTAAAAAGAATATACCATTAAAACATACGGGGTGGGGAATCCAAGGGAAGTAAGCATTTTTTGAAGCCCTAGGGAACTTCTGCAATTCTATGAGGATCATAGTGAGTTGGCACATCAAATATAAAACAGATCTATCTGCTCATGAAACACCAGAGTTCCTCTTGCCAGTGTTCATCACACTTGAGAAATATAGAAGGAGAAAGCTCTCAAACTCTGGAAAAGCACAGACCAAAATCAAAAACATTTTATCATCTATGAAATACTGAAGACCTTAGGAAAAGAGAAACTCTCTGTCACTCATCACTAATGATGTGGCTGGCAACGGCTTCAATGAAGCAATATGTGCATGTAAGCAGAGGTATATTGTATGAAGCACTGAAAACTTCCAATCTACAGCACAGTCAAATGATGACAAAAACGCTGATCATGGGATAAAAATGTGACTGAATTCAGCCAAAGGGACTGCATTTATCAAAAAAGCTGAGTAGTGAAATGACTGGTTTACTATTATTTATTCATTAGTAATGGAAGCACAAAAACAATTCTAGTTGATACTTAACTTAGCATTTTGTCTACTAACTTAGCTTTGCATCTTGGCAGATGAACATTGACAAGAGAAACTCTGGTATTTCATGAGCAGATAGATCTGTTTTATATTTATTTATTTATTTTGTTGAGCATGTATTAAATAACAGGTATAAAATAACAGATATAAACATGATTATTAATACATGAAATGGATACGAATAAAAGGGAATGTTAGGACAGGGATGGTAGGCACATTGGTATGGTTATGCCTGCTCCTTAAAGACCTCTTAGGAATGGGGTGAGGTCAACAGTAGACAATCTGAGGTTAAAGTTTTTTGGGTTTGGGGAAGAAACCACAGAGTCAGGTAGAGTATTCCAGACATTGAGTACTCTGTTGCTGAAGTCGTATTTCCTGCAATCAAGTTTGGTGCTGTTTACCTTGAGTTTGTATCTATTATATGCTTGTGTATTGTTGTGGTTGAAGTCATTGATGGGTAGGACATTGCAATAGATAATTTTATGTACTACACTTAAGTCAGACCGAAGGCGGTGTAATTCTAAGTTGTCTAAGCCTAAAATTTCAAGTTTGGTGGCATAGATATTCTGTTGTGGTTCTGTGGGCGGCTGAGGTCTCGGAGAGTGAGGACTCAGATGAGGGGCCTGCGTGTGAGGCAGTGATGGGGCCAGGACCATCAGGGAGTGGAATGCTGCCTTTAGAGATTGTGGAGGCTGCCAGCAGTGATGAAGAGTCCCTGAGGAGCCTGTGCCAATGTGTGTGTGCGCACGGCTGCTTGAAGGAAAGAGCAGCTGCAGCAGCACGGGCGACTTGGGAGTAAGGCTGCAAGGTAATGGCCCCTCCCTTAAGAGATAAAAGCTAGCTGAGAAACTGGAGTTCTTTGCAGGAAGCAAAGAAGTTTTTGCACTCAAGCCTTGTGGACATTCGGAATATCTTGGTTGGTGTTTGGAGACTCTTTCTGTTTGAACTATTTCTTAGTAATTTTCCTAGGGTTCTTGGCAGCCTTGCACAACCTTGGCAAGGCTTGTTCTTATCAGAGATAATTAGTTTGAAACAGACTTTTAACCGTGAAGGAATGGAATTTGTAAAGAATCATTAAAAGGTTTTGCTGTTACCTCTGTTTCATGTCTGTTTCCTTGGAACAAGGTTTGGGTCAGAACATATTCTTTTTTATATATATAATTTTTTTTTATTTTTTAACAACAAACATAAACAAACACAAACCTAAAACAACAAATGAAACCATCTTTCCATTGTACAGTGTGTCGGTTGGTACATATCTTTTGTGCACAATATCAGCAATCTTTCCTTCTACATTTAAATTATAATTCATATTATAATTTACAACTGTGCCTACTATATTATATTGTATTAACACCTTATTAGATTTAATTATAAATTCACATCATTCTTTTCAAGCAAATCTCAACTATTACATGACCTAATACATAATATCATTCATTTCATTATAATCAATTATAACATATCATTAGCTTAGTTTATCATTACTATTATGCTATATTTATATTATAATATATTTTATTTCCTTATTTTCTTATCTAGCCATTGATAAAATAGATACCAAATTTTATAATATTCTTTGTCTTCTTGCTCTCTGATTCTTAATGTCAATTTACCCATTTCTGCACATTCCATTATTTTCTTAATCACATCCTCTTCTATCGGAATTTTTTCACTTTTCCAATTTTTGGAAAATACAATTCTAGCTGCTGTTAATACATTTATAATCAGATATATCAATTCTTTACTATATCCTTCAGGTAAGATACCCAATAAAAATATATCTGGTTTCAAGTCTATATGCTGTTTTGTCATTTTTTCCAGCCCTGTATGAATTTTAATCCAGTATCTCTTGGCTTCCACAAATGTCCACTACGTGTGATAGTATGATCCAGGTATCTGATGACCACTTCCAACATTTCTCCGATTTGTTCCCAATTGGGTAGACCAAAACCTCCTCTTGATCTAGCATCTTGTAGCAATTTTAATTTAATTCTTGCCTTCTTTCCCTGCCATATATACCTCAGTATTATATTACAGTATTTAGATCCTCGAAATATTCTTTCCCTATATTTGTCTGAAACAAATATAAAAATATAAATCTTAATTGTAGATATTCTCCCTATTAGAGATAATTGTAAATTTTCCCATTTTTTCAAATCTGTGGCAATCTTTTGTTTGAGTTTATAATAATTGTCTTCTTTGAGTGTTCCACATCTTGCTGTTAATTGTATTCCTAAATATTTAACTTTATTTGTGTTCTGGATATTCAATCTCTTTTTTAATTCTTCCCTTTGTTTTTTCACCATATTCTTGGCCAAAATCTTGGTTTTATCTTTATTTATTTTCAAACCTGCCACCTGTCCATATTCTTCAATCTTTTCTATCAATTTAGGTGCTGTTTTTAATGGTTCCTCTAATATGAAAATGAGATCGTCTGCAAATGCTTGTAACTTATATTCCTCTTTTTAAATTTTCATTCCCTTTATTTCACTATCACCTCTAATATTTCTATTTAGGACCTCCAAAGTCAAAACAAACAGCAGCAGGGACAGTGGGCATCCTTGCTTAGTTCCTTTTTTATATTAATATTATCTGCTAAGTCTCAATTTATCTTTGCTTATAATATATTGCCTCTATAGCTTTAATAATTTTTTCATCATAAACTACCAATTTATATTATCAAAGGCCTTTTATGCATCTAGAAATACCAAGGCCATTTGCTTCTCGGAATGTGTTTCATAATATTCCAAAGTGTTCAAAATTATTCTCATATTGTCTTTTATATGCCTCTTTGGCAGAAATCAATTTAGATCAGTATGTATGAAATTGTTCAGATATCTCTTAAGTCTTTCTCCATTATTGAGGCAAATATGTTATAATCTGAGTTCAGCAGGGAAATAGGTCTGTAGTTTTTAACTTGCTGTAGGTCAGTGTCCTCTTTTGGTATGAGAGTAATATAAGCCTCTGTCCATGAGTTTGGTATTTTAGTTTTTGACAAAACTTCATTCATCACTTCAAGCATTGGGATACTTAAAAATTCCTGTAAAGTCTTCTAAAATTCTTCTGGTAGCCCATCCGGGCCCGGAGCCTTCCCAGTATTTTGTCTCTTTAATGCCTCAGTTAGTTCCATTATTGTTATTTTCCCTTCTCACATTATTTTAATATCCTCAGATATTTGGGGTACTTCCGCTCTTTGCAAATATTGTTTAACTTCTTTTTCATCAATATTCTCTTTGTTTTTATAGTTTTTCATAATATTTCTGTACTACCTTTTCTTTTCATCATTTCCATTACAAATCTTTCCTTGATCATCTATTAATTGCATTATCTTTTTCATTTCTCTCTCTTTTTTCAATTTATACACCAACCATCTGCCTGGTTTATTTGCATTTTCAAAGAAATTCTGTTTGGCATTCCTACTTTTTTGAGCTAACTCTTCTTTTTCCATCAACCCTATTTTGTGTTTAACTATATCCATTTGCTTTTTAATATCCTTTTTTTGTGGATGTCTTTGTAAGTCCCCTTAAAGTTTCTTATAGTCTTCCTCTAACATCTGTTGCATTTGTCTTTTTTTTACATTTCTTTTTTTCATATAGTCTATTATCAGTCCTCTGGCATAGGCCTTCATGGTATCCCATAAGTTTATAGTGAGGTATCCTCCTTGTTGTTTTCTTTGAAGAAAAAGGCCAATTCTTTTTCCATCTTTTGTGTAAATTCTTTTTCATTCAATATTGTATTAATCAAAGTCCATCTGGATCTTTTCCTTTGTCCTTGCCATTTAATCCACACAGGGTTGTGGTCCGCCCAAGTACTTGTTTCAATATTAACTTCTTGTATATTTGAGATTAATTCCATTGACATCCAAATCATATCTATTCTTGACCACGATAAGTGTCTGTTGGAGTAAAAGATATATTGTCTATTCTTTGCATTTCTTTCTCTCCAAACATCTTTAATGCTGAATTCCTCTACCATTTTGAAGAAGGATTTTGGAAGTGTCTTTCTATTTTGTTTATTAGCTTTCTGTGTTGTATCATCTAATTTTGTATCTACTATCCCATTAAAATCTCCCCTAAAACATATATTATCATATTTCAATCCTATAATTTTCTTACGTAATTTTTTGTAAAATTCTTCTTGTTTTTCATTGGGAGCATATATTGCTTCTAAAAGTGTGTTTATGTTGTTGTCAATTATTTCAACCATTAATATTCTTCCTTTTTCATCCGTAAAAATTAATTCAGCTTTGATCATGTTCTTAATGTATAGAGCAACTCCCCTTTTTTGTTGTTGTGCCAATGAAGTATATAAATTGCCAATTTTAGGATGTTTCAATACCTGAGCATGTTGTCTTTTTTATATGAACTTCTTGCAAGCAGATTATATTTAATTTTAATTTTTCTAATTTATGGAATATTTTCCTCCTTTTGGTGGCCGAATTCAATCCATTTATATTTATTGTAATCAGTTTCTTTTCTTTCATTATTTATACTTTATATGTAGGGTTTACAGCTCTTGTAGATCTTTGCTTTCTTGCTTCTTTGAAGTCCATCTTTCCACCTACTGTTCCTTCTTCACATGTTTCTTCTTGCATTACTTTATTTCTTGCTTCAGCCATCTCCTCTTGAATTTTAAATGTTTCCTCCTCTCATATTTTCTCATCTTATTTTCCTCTAAAATATTCTCCATAGAATAATTCTTCTTTCTCTATTGAGTCTAATCTATGTCTTTGCTCTTACCAGGTAAATATGAGACCATCACGGAGCAACCATCTACAATTCATTTTTGATTAAAATTTTTGTTGGGAATTGATACTCTCTTCTCATTTCTCTCACTTTTCTTGGTACTTGTTTTAGGACCATAATCTTCTTGCCTTTGTATTTCAATGGTTCATCTCTTGCACTTTGTAGTATTTGTGTTTTAATTGGTTTCTTGGTAAATCTTACATCGACCTGTCTAGGTAATTTATTTCTCATTTCATATCTTGTAAAAACTCAGTACACCTCATCTATTCCATTCATCATTTTCTCTTTGGATATCTTCAAGGCATCTGCCAGCATTTTTATCATTATTTCTGCCAGATTTTCTCCTTTTTCTTCCTCAATATTTTGAAATCTGAGATAAAAATCTGCCCTATCCATCTCCCAGCCCAACATTCCACTTCCTTTATCATGTTCAACAGCAGTCAATCTACTATCCATTTCATCATTTTTTATCTCTCTGATCACCTTTTTCTTTTATCTTTTGAAACCTTTCTTCATTCTTCATTATCATTTGTTGTATGTTCTCTAGTTTCTCATCTGTTTTCTCTGTTCTCTTCTCAATTCTTTCCATTCATTTCCCTTGTTCTTGTATTGCTTGCAGTATCATTTGTAAGGTAACTTCCTTTTCTTTTTCTTTGTCTCTCCTTTTCCTGCTGCAACATCATGTGTATTGACCGATGGCCACTATGTGGGGAAGAAGAAGTAGGGATTGATGAACTTGTGGTAGTTGTCTTCCTCATTTCAAATTAATTGTAAATCCAATCGATAAAAATCAGCTTACAACTCCAATAAACAATAAACAATAAATTATCTTCAGGTTCTTCTTTAGAAAAAAGGAGAAAAAGAATTTTGAAAAATAAAATTCAGTGCAAAAATAATAAATGAAAAAGAAAAAAAATGGTAAAAAATCAAAAAGGAGAACTTAACTCCAAGAGGCACACAAAAAACAGAATAAAAAGTTGTTTAAAAATAAAAAAGTATAAAAATAATCCACCAGTTAGTATCAAAAAGAGAATAAATAAGTCAAAAGAGGTAAAAAGAAAAAAAAAGAAAAAGCTAATATTCCAGCAACAAGATCACAATCAGATGTAAAAAAGAAAGAGAAAGAAAAAAAATCCAAAAAGTTCAGGCCAGGCAAGGCTGCCAGCCCAAAAAATATTGCAGTTTAGAATTTTGTCACAAAGTAAATTACTGCCACATACAATGTCCAAGGCACACTATCAATGTTTCAGCAAATATAGTCCAAGGTCACCAAACACACTTCTTCTTTCAACTTCAATTCCCAGCCATTGAGATTTTACAAGAGTAACACCTGCATAAACAATTCTTCAGTGTTCCACTCTCTATCTTCTCTGGGTATAAACAGCTTGGCTGGGAAGTTTCTGTTTCTCGAAATAAAAGTGTTTTTTAAGGCCTCTAATTGGCAGTGTTACTGTGTTTTATTTAACTTTCACTTCCTCTTTACAATATAACAAAGTCAAAAAGAAGTTTCAAACTAAAAGACTCTCATATAGAAAAAAGAGAAAAAAGAAAACTATCAGAACACAAAGAAAAATCCAGTTTCTCCCTTTAAAATAAATGTTAAGAAATTTCTTCCATTGATTATTAAACAAAAAATCCAGTCCAGTTAAAAAAAAATCCCTTCTTTAAAATAATTCATTAAACAATAGAAAAACAATTGTTTGACAAAAGGCTCTTTTTCGCCGCTGTTTCCTCTTCTTGTCTTCAATTATCTTTCTTTTCCCTTTTAGGGTGCTCTTTTATTTAAAAAAAAAAAGGCTGACACATTTTCTTTCCTTTTCTTTCTTCCATTCTGGAGCTGTCCCAACCTTTCAGCAGCTTCAATGGCCGCTTTCCCTCTGCAGCCGAATTGGAGAGCTTTTCCTGGATCAACTAGGGATTTTGGGATATCCCTGGGATCATCAGGCTGCGCTCTCCTTGATCACTGTCCCTTCAGGACAGTTTAGGTCCAAATGGACCATCTAGCTGCAGGGATATCGGTGTTGGTCCTGGAGCCTGAGATCCTTCATCCATGTTGTCACGACGTCAGCTCCACCACCCCCCCCGGGTCAGAACATATTCTGTTACGAGAAGAGGAGTGGAGGAGTCTTCTCATGAAATATCTCTGAACTCTCTCGATTGTGTTAGTGTTCGATATGCAATGCGGTTTCTAGACAGACAAGCTGTATTCGAGAATTGATCTAGCAAATGTTTTGTATGCTCCAGTTAGTAGTACAATAATACTGGAGAAAAAGCTACACAGGATTAGGTTAACAACTCTTAATGGTTTTTTGGCTATGTTGTTACAGTGGGCTCTAGCATTAGAGATGAGTATTCCAAGGTCCTTGACAGAGTCGGGGTGTATTTGGTGACCCAACTCACTAAAGTTCACACAGAATTTTTTGGGTTGTTTTTATGCTTCCATGACTAATCACTAGATCATGGAATAATGATTGCACTACTCCTTACTAGCTTAGTAGCATAATAGCAAGTTCATTTGCATGTAAATGTTTTTGCCTTTCATCAGGTTTAATCCATGAATTTTTTTTCCTAGCTCAGTAAGGCCAAATGCCTGAAAAATTATTTTCAAGTAACCATGTTTTGGGTTTCCCCCATGCTTTAATGTGTACTTCATGAATCAGTTATATTTTCTATGTGCAATACAAAATACTATTGTTTCAACATTTGGAAACATCAGCTAGTAAAGTATTTGGACAAGGACTTTATAGTACTTTCTCTTATATTCCTTACTGATTGAATCCAAGGACAATGGATTTTATGGGCAACAGAATGAATAGAGTTTTGTTTTTAAACCAGATTTATCCTTGCTTTCAGGCTACTATTGGTGATGTTAGTCACAATGTTTGAAAATAGAAAGAATCTTTAGTTCTACCACTCCTACTCCCTGGTACTGCACATTTGTGTGATAGTGCAGGAACCAGCTAACTTTGTCAAAAGTTTAAGACTTTGCTCTGCTCTGCTCCATTTCTCTTATATGTCTGTGTAACAATTCTCCTATACAATTTTTAACTCTATCATCTTCAGAAAGGGTAGTCACTATTCCTCACAAACTGTTCTTATGTTTACACAAAATCTGCTTTCTCTATTTAATTGATTTATGATGAAAAACAAAATTATTGCCCCTTCCAGTTTTCTGGTACTAATGATAGGAAGCCAGAGCTTTGTTTTTCTTCAACTTGGTCAGACTTCAGATACTAGATTACTCCATCCTGTACTGAACTATTCCAGATGCTCTAGGATCTAGTAGTTTCTATACACCTCTTTTTGAGTTTTTTATAGTTGGAGCCTAGAAATATTTTAACTCTGAAAGCTAACCCAAGGAAACAGATCAGATGCTAATTTGTTTTTACAAACATTTTTTTTTTGAAGATTTTCTCAGAACTGATCACTGTGCTGTCAAATGTGCCAATGAAAGGCTTTCCTAAAGTTAATTTTCCCACTTGTAATACCATAAACAAATTTTCTTTAACACTTGAAAAAACCCATCCATACTAAAAAATATCAGTTGCTTAATCCTAAAATTAAAGGTTATTGCATGCAAGAAGAAATAATTACATGTTCAAAGTATGGGAGGAAAAATAAAACTTTTTTTAATATGTAGGTATTTGTATAATTAAAGACTAATCAAGCATGAAGGCTGCTGACTAAACCAGAAAATGAGATTGTTGGCAAGCAATATTGCAATGTAAATGCCATTTTTGTTTAAGGAATCAAAAGCTGGAGGAATGATATTCTGAAGAGATTAAAAGCAAACAGCATTGATAATAAATATTTATCAGATTTCAAATGCAACATGATATTTTACATGCAAGA